ACGGGCTCGCTCTCGCTCCTTGACTGTCAGAAGCCTCAGCAGAGAGTTCTGGGGAGGAAGAGGCAAATTCAGATCCTGGAGGTGAAAGTATTTTAACTATCAAGGTGCAGAAGCGTCCACCTCCGCCACCGCCTCTGCCGCCTCGGACCGGCCACCCTCAGAAGTCCCCAGAGACTTTCTGGCAGCCCCGCCGTTCACAGTGGGGTCCAGTGCATATCAGTCTTTCTTGGCCATCTTCCCCAGCCTGGGCACCGGATCATCAGTCAGTCACAGGATGGAACCTGAGCTATTCTTGCTAAGGCCCCGCTCACATAGTACCCGGTGCTCCTCCCCCACCCAGCACCCTATGGCCAGGGCATGCCACGGGCACCGAGCCCCACTTTTACCCATCTTAGGTGTCTGGCTCTCATGCTGGACTGCACTCAACGAGTTTTTTAGTTTCAAAAAAGCTTTAAGTACTGTCCAGCGGGTTGGAACGAGAGGCCTCACCTGGGGGCGCAGCTGCTGCAGAAGTAGGAGCGACTCGTGCGACAAGAAGTCGGGCCACTCGATGTGGCCTCGGTGTCCAGGGTCCAGGGCCGCAAACTGGCGGGCTGCCTGCCGCTCTTGTTCCTCACTCAGGGCCCGGTCTCCCCGCTTGGCTGCTTGGTGGCGGTAACGCAGGAAGTCCTCCAGCATCAGGGAGCAATCTGTGGGGAGGCACCCCGTGCTGGCCACACTCACCCTCTGCTCAGCCCCTGGGGTCCACAGCTCAGTCCCAGGGCAGCCTGTGGAGTGGCCAGGCCTGCAGCTCTTGGTCAGTCTCTGTCTGCCAGTCAGGGCAGCTTGGGCTGTGGCCAGGCCAGCAAGTCGGGAACAGGGCCCATTTCCCCCCCATCCCCCAAATTCCAGAATACTCCGTGCATGGCTCAGCCTAGAAAGGGTGAAGGAGAAAGCCGCCCGGCCCCGCTCCCGCCCGCCCGCAGCGCTCAGCCTCACCGGGGATGACGCCGCACCGCTGGAAGGTCTCCGTGAGGCTGTACATCTCCTCCTCGGTGAGCAGCAGGTTGAGGTCGTGCTGGGGAAGGAGGAGGGGCGGAGTCAGTGGTCACGGCGGCCAGGAGGCCAGCGAGAGAAAAGGCTAGGACCCAGAGCGAGGGACACGGGGCTCCCGCGGCCGGCAGCTCGGAGGGCCTCCAAGCTCGGCCTCGCTCAAGGAGGCCGAGCCCTCGGTGGGGCGCTAGCTCAGGGTGGCCCAGGTCTGTGGCAGACTCTAACCCGGGCGCCTGAGTCCAGCCCCGAGTCCCTTTTACTAAAATCATGATTTTCACATCCTCCTCTGAGCTCCCCAGGGATCCTCTGGAAGCGTCTTAGGGAGCAGCTGCAAGAGAGAAGGGGGCTCATGAGGGGCCGGGTTGTGAACCCCAAGAGCACCAAGTCAGGTTTTTGGCTCTGCTATCAGACTGCACTCAGTTTCTAGTTAAGAAAAAAAAAAAAAGTTTATTCCTAGCTCTGCTTCTAGTGGGTTTTGCAAGAGAGGCCAACATGATAAAGTTCCTGAAGCCCAATGAGTTGTGTGTGTGTGTGCTGTAGAAATTTTAATTCCCAAGGAGCCCTTACTTCTTATTAACATTACTGCACAGTCTTTAAGCCGTCAAAGACGCTTTCTTGTAGAAGGCGAATTGGGAGCAGATACTTCACAGGAATTCACTTGGGGATTTCATAAAGAACTTGAGCGTCTGTTCAGTGTACACTGACACGGAGTACGCCAGGCACCAGAACAGTGTCACAGCACCGTTAGACGTGCAAGGCGGCTGGCTGGGGCCTGCGGGGCATGTGGTGTACAGAGCGTGTGCAAGGCGGCTGGCTGGGGCCTGCGGGGCATGTGGTGTACAGAGCGTGTGCAAGGCGGCTGGCTGGGGCGTGTGGGGCATGTGGTGTACAGAGCGTGTGCAAGGCGGCTGGCTGGGGCGTGTGGGGCATGTGGTGTACAGAGCGTGTGCAAGGCGGCTGGATGGGCTGCGGGGTACGCAGGCATGCGCAGAGTGACTGGGCTGGGGTGTATAGGTGTGTGCAGAGTAGCTGGTGTGCAGTGTGCAGGGTGGCTGGACTGGGGTGTCTGGGTGTGTGTAGGGTGGCTGGGCTGGGGTGTGCAGGGTGGCTGGATGGGGTGTGCAGGGTGGCTGGATTGGGGTGTCTGGGTGTGTGTAGGATGGCTGGTGTGTAGTGTGCGAGGTGTGTGCAGGGCGGCTGGCTGGGGTGTGCAGGGCGTGTGCAGGGTGGTTGGTGTGCAGTGTGCGGGGCATGTGCAGTGTGTGGGGTGTGTGCAGGGTGGCTGGACTAGGGTGTGTGGAGCGTGTGTAAGAATTAGGGGAGGAGGTAGGAAGGAGCCTGATCCTGTGGTTTAAGGGGAGTCAGGGAAGGGTTTGAAATGGTGAGCGCCAGTCAGATCCTTGGTGACCACGTAGATTGGAACGGATGAGGACAGCAAGCTCTGAAGGCACGGACAGCAGTGAGGTGGCTGCTGCACTGACAGGTGAGAGGTGAAGGGCCACACCGCACAGAGCGCGCGAGGGGAGAGCGCTGAGCGAGACTGGAAGGGGATTTGCCGGCTTCCTGACTTGAGGCCTGAGGAAGAGAAACGAGGGACCCTGTTCCTCCCAGACAGGAATGCGGGGCGGGCAGGCTTGGGGAGAAACGGAAGCTCACTGTGTGGCACAGTGAATGTGAGGAACCCGCGAGACATCGAGATGGACGAGTCCCAGAGGCCAAAGAAACCTCCATCAGAACATTAGTGTTGAGGAGGTGGCTGTGCCCTTGGGACACAAGGCACCGGGAGGGTGTGCAGTGAGATGGGACACAAGGCAC